GGGGGGCATTTGAGCAGAACACGAAAAGGAATTTCTTTTGCACAGATTCTACGGTAAAGTAAAACAGATGGAGGTTATTACACCAGGATACACCGCAATATTACACAGCTACCATGCTTTTAACCGTCAAGGGGCCATTCAAACAGGCCACGTCCCCATGCCTGCAGTGCTTGGGACACGTAAAGTGCATCATTAAGTCTGATCGCGCCAATTCACAGCTGTGGCAGGGCGTAGTGAATGCTCTCAACGCGTAATGCTTATTGTTTTCTATGCATTATAGAAAATTTTCTTAATTACACTGATCTGGTGATCCTCCTTAGCCACGATTCCATAATATTCTGCTAATGCAAGCACAGTTCATATCATTATATTCGCTAGAGTCATCTCTTGGTCATCAGAAACGTTCTTTCAGGAGAACAAATCTGGTTTTGGAGAAATCTGGATCTGCTAGCTGAGCGGATGATCTGTTAGCGCATGACAGCCTATGAACTCTTATTTTAGATGTTTGTGCAACAGCATATGAGGGGTATCAGGTAGCTTAGATCAAATAAAATGATTTACATCTAAAACTGCAGTTTCTTAAATGGCTTCGAGTCTTGACCTGCATAAATGGCTTTTTTAGGCAACCATAATGAGTATCAGTACAATACGCCATGAATTAGTTCTTGAAATAATTTTGTTTAATGTTATGTTGTATTTCAATACGACTGCCAACATTTAAATAAAGTAATCCTTGTCTGTATGATACACTACCTTATTTTTATCGTTTTATGCGTACAGCCATTTAAAATGTAAACAATTAAGTAGTAACAAATCATATTTTGTTTAGGCTTTTTCTATCACGTCAGTTGGAGCAACAACTGGAAATTCACAAAGGAAACTTTTTAATGTTTCACAGGAGGAGAGCTGGATTTCTGAATGTATGGAAAGTTGTTGTAAATAATACATTTAGAGTCAGTATAAACCTCCATGGAACGGTATTGACTCCAATGTTGCGATTGTTTCTTGAAATGGCTATTTGAAAGTATTTGTCACCTAATAGTTTGTTGTCCTTAGGTTCAGATTCCGCTCATTGGCGGCCCCTGTCATCCGCATTTTGCCACTTTCAGCCCATTCTTATTGTAATCCGCTGAGTCATGTCGGCCTTGTAAGTAATTACAGTCTTTTGCTCCATGCCGAAGTTTCTTCTTTCTTCCATATCTGTCGATCAGCCTCGTATGGTTCTCTCAGAGAGAAGTTTGTTATTGCTTTCAAGGCATATAATGGACAGTAGAACTCGGCGATGCTACTAAGTTCGTGATAAAGTTGCACTTGGCAGAGCGTTTAAATTCCGCTCTGTTGTTCGTACCGCTCTCTTCTTGTTTCATGTTGATATGCTAGAACCTTCGTGACATGTTCAGATTTTCTAAAACGCTGTTGGAAGAACCTGATGTACTCTGTATCGTTTCTTGCCAAATGAGGATGAGGTTACGATAGCTGTTTTTCAACGAATCTTGTTCATCGTTAAAAATTTAATCTACCAACAATCGCATGTTTAAATTTTAGGAACGTCTGGAAGTACTTCCTTGCGCAAAACGATTTCATATCGGCTCGCAAGTACGCGGCTAGCAATCGTCATAATTTAGACGTGGTCCTGAAAAAGCAAGCTGACCAGCTGTTTGAGGACAAGAAGTAGCTTAACTACAGCTAGCCGCTCTTTTGACTCTCTAACGTGAGTGGTGCTGAACTTAGGTTCGTTGCCGCTGCCGAAATCTACGCCATGACACAGACTCCGTTCGAGGAGGTGGTGCTGAAGTTCCTGCAGCTGGACGACAAGAACGGCCTAAAGACGTTTTTCCTCAAGAAACTGGACACCTTTTCGCCTACCGTTTATAGCCTTATGTTTTTTTTAAAAACAGATACTTCAAATCAAACTTTTAGGAAAAGGTTCAAGTTGCCTTAGTAGTGTTTTGGTTGCTGGAGATCTTCTTCAGTCAGCTGAATGAGGCCTACGTTCAGAAAACCGCGGAACTAAACGACAGCCACTACCAGCCCGCTG